GTCATTATGGATTTATATTTCTTCACAGTTTCTTGGCAATACTCATTCCTCTCTTCAACCTAAATTATTTCTTTCTATATTTTCTTAAGTTTTTTTTGTTGGCTATAAATTCTTTTAGAATATTTTTAAAATTTTTAATATACATATTTCATTTAGTATTTTTAATTAAACAAGAAATTCACAGTAAATTTTCCTTATTGGTAAAAGGTATTATTTGCTTTGAATACAGCATCACTATTACTAAGTCTTATATATTATTTTCTTTTATTGATTCTTCGTGGATCATCCATTCCTACCCCACCTTACTCCCTGTCCCTCGCATCCCCCCCAAAACAAAACCAAATTTAAAACCAAAGCAAAACTAAACCAAGAAAAAGAAGAAGGAGAGGAAGAAGAAGAATCTTGTAGTGGAAGCTGTAGTATGGCCTGTTGAGACACACAGTTTACCCTTTAGTCTATTTAACTTAACCTGTGTTTATTGCCAAAGGTCATTGCTCTGGCTATGGATAATGGAAACTCACTGGGGCTCTTTTTGGATATCCTGTTGCTGTCGTTTGTCATGGAGATCCTGCTGTTTTAGATCTGTAGGTTCCTCCCCTTCACAAGCTCACAGTTCATAGATTCGGTAGCTGTTGGGATGGACAAACTCATAGCCCTGGTTCTGGGCCTGGGTGGTATCTGCATTGGTCAGCTCCCAAGGTTTCGCTCATCATCACTACCTGAATGAGCTCTCCATCACTGCCTTAGCTAACTCATACAATGTAGCCTACAGCAAGAAGCAGACCCAGTTCTGCTCTGGGGCTTTCAGACCCAGGTCCCCCTTACTCAATCTCTAGGGCCAGTTCTACTGTTTTTCCCAGACGAGATGAAAGGTCCTCTTTCCCTATTGTTGTTGGGGGCAGACAGGGGGTGGGGGGTGGGGGGTTGAGGCAGGGTTAGCTCTCCTGCTCTCGCCCCTCAGGGCTGACTTACCTGTACCCCAGCTACAGGGTCAGCCCTAATGTGCTGTCCAGGTATAGCACAGGACCCTTCTGTATGCTGTAGCCGTTTTAAAGCAGGACTAGTACTCTCACTCTCGTGGCCCTGAGGCCAGGTCTCTTGCATGCCACAGGTAGCCAGGGGTGGAGTAGGGAGGGCAAGGCAACTTTCTCTCACCAATGCCAACAGAGAACAGACGACGGGGAGGACTGCTTTTATATCTTCATTGCTGGCTCACCTACATCCCTGACAACAAGGTTAGCTCTAGTGTGTTTGCCAGACCCAAAGCAGAGGCTACTTTCTCAAGTGCTGCAGCTGACTCTCCTACACTTGTGTCCCTAGGAGCCAGTTCTCTCGACTGAGGCAGGTGATAATAGAGAAGGGGAGGAGGACATTTTTTCCTCACCCACTGCCACCACAAGGCAGACTGGGAGGATAGGGTCAGCTCTCCCATTCCCATGCCTGGAGAGTTTGGGCCAGCTCACCTACTGCAGTAACCACCAAGGAGCAGGATCAACCATCCCAGGAGCAGTGAAAGGTGGAGTCATTTGAGCACAGCATGATTCCAAAGACCTCCATGCTACCACAGGCTGTGGACATCCTCCACAGACCTCAGCTACAGCAGGAAGGTTAGAACCAGATGTGGCCCTCAGCAGCAGCTCAGGCAAGGACAATACCACGGCGGCCCAGTGGCAGCACAGGTCCATCAGACCAGCATGCCCTGCTGGTAGCATGGCCCTGGGGCATCAACATGGTCCCAAGTAACTGCCTAGTTCCGGGCATCCACAGAGCCCTCACTGGCAACTGGAGTCATGAATACCACCCCAGACCGGACCTTTCATTTCCATCACCCTTATGTTTGCTTTCTCTTGTACATCATCCAGATACGGGTTCTCTTTATATTCTTTTTCCTTTATTTCAGTGAGCTGTTTCTTTTTGTCTTCTTTAAACTCCAATAAATCTTTGTCGAAGTTTATGATTGTTCTTTTAAGTTATGTGTTTTGTGGCTCATGTAAATAATTCTTACTGGCAAAAATCCCTACAGAAAAGATGGGCAGTGATGGCACACACCTTTAATTCCAGCACTTGGGAGACAGAGGCAGACAGATCTCTGATTTCAAGGCCAGCCTTGCCTACAGAGCAAGTTATAGGACAGCCAGAGCTATACAAAAAAAAGGAAAGAAAGAAAGAAAGAAAGAAAGAAAGAAAGGAGGACTGGAGGCTTTTCGATTGTTAGGTTGTTGGATTTTTGTTCATGGGGAGGGGGTAGTGTTATTTGTGTTTTTCCAATAGTATCTGTGTCTGTGGACTTCTTTATTAGGTTTATGTCTGACATGGAGAAAGCAGGTCGGAGCCTGAGAGAAGACGTGCACATTAGGTTGGGTTTAATTGCTTGGATGAAGTAAGAAGGACACAGATAATTGGGCTAGTATGTAGAATGGGTATTCCAGTTCAAACTTGGAGTGTGGGGATAGATGTGGGGTTTGGAGGAAACTGTGTGGTGGGAAAAAAACACAATTACTCACCTGACTAGATCCTAGAGCAGCGTCTGGCTGTATGGCAAGGTGGTTGTGGTGGTAGAAGGGAGTTGACATTGGTGTTGGTCAGGAGCAGCTGGGGTGGATCCGGGTAGAAGCCTAAAGTTTGCTTGCAGTCTAATCAAGGGTGGTCTTGCTAGTCTGGAGCACAGTATGTATGACATTAGCTATCTATGGGGAATTTAGGAGTGGGTTAGGAAGACAGAATCGGAAGGATTCACTGAGCTAAGTCCTGCAGAAGGATGTGCAGGATGAGGTTAAGTGGAGAGATTGGAAGTGGTGTGGAAGGAGCCTATGAATCAGGTTCAGAGGATAGCTCCTTGCCAAAGCCTCCCTCAAAGTTGGTTGTTTCACAGGCAGGGATGTTTTTTTTTAAAAAAAAAAAAAAAACTGGGCATTGGATGTAAAAGATGGACTGACTCTGGGGGATGGGGTGGATAGGGTGTTTGGACAAGAGAAATTGAAGAATTCACCCAGCTATATCCTGGAGAGTGATGTGAAAACTCTGTACCATTTCCCCCTTTGACATCTCAGTGTGTCAGCCTGGTTGACCTGGAACTCAATATGTAGGCCAGGATGGCCTTGAACTAACAAGGATCATCTTGCTTCAGACTACAGAGTGCTCTGACTAAAGACGTGTGGAGGCTTGAGTGAGAAGAAATTCACAGAATAATATATTTGAATGTTTGGTTCCTAGTTGGTAGAATTAGTTGGGGAAGGATTAGGAGGTGTGGCCTTTTTGGAGGAGGTGTGTCACTGGGGGTGGGTTTTGAGGTTTCAAAAATCCACCATGATGCCATGCCAAATCTCTCTCTCTCTCTCTCTCTCTCTCTCTCTCTCTCTCTCTCTCTCTCTCACTTGTGGATTAGATGTAAACTCTTAGTTACTATTCCCATGCTTGCTTGCTGCCTTGCTCTCTCCCATGGTGGTCATGTACTCACCCTCTGTAAACAAGCTTTCTCCTGTGAGTTGCCTTGGTCATCGTGTCCCTGCATAGCAATAGGGCAGTAACTAAGACAGGATGTGTCACTATATTCTGCCTAAAACTGTTTTTTTTTTAATCTGGGAACAATGACCCTTAATCTCTCAAATTTCAAAATTTCTATTTATAGGTCACAATGCACCCCTGAAGTAGTTCATATATCTATCAACAACTAAAGAAGATTTATTTATTGTATATGTATGATGATATGTTTTGTCTGTCTGCCAAAGGACACAAGAAGAGGGCAATGGATTGCCTGGAACTGGAGTTACAGATATTAGTGAGCTACTATGTAGGTGCTAGGAACCAATTCTAGGTTCTTTGCAAGAGTAACAATCTTTATCACTAAGCCATCTCTCCAATCCCTTGTCAGCAATGTTATTAAAGTATGCTCTTCTCTTTTGATTTATCATGGTTCTCAAACTGAAGAAACTGAATTTCACAACATTGCTGGGGGAGTCAGGATATGCTAATACATTTCATAGCACTTCAAGTCTCTCAGTGTTCTCAGAATATTCCAGAATGACACTGCAGTTGTACAGAAATCCACATTCCACATCCACTTTCCTTAACTGAGATCCTACCTTGATTCATACAAGTTGTATAATATTAGACAAGTCATTGGATTACTTTGTGGCTCCGTTTTCTCAGAAAACTGAATGAGTGAATAACAAAAACCATTTAGAGCAAGGACTCAGGGGCACCATTAATTGTAAATTGTGGATTCCCACACGGTGTTGATTGTGAAATGTTTTCTCAGTTATGAATATTGTAAATTAAATGACCTGTAATAGAATGGAACAGCAGAACACACAAGAGCTCTTTGTACCAGTGGTAGATATTGTTATGTGTCCCATTGATTCCACCTTTGAGTTTTCTTGTGATTTAAAGTGTGTGTGTGTGTGTGTGTGTGTGTGTGTGTGTGTGTGTGTTGGCTCATTTTTATGGTTCGAATGTCAAATGTTCCCTGCAGGATAATGTGTTTTAGCATTTTTTTCCAAGATGAAGCCGCTATTTGAAGAGTCTTTGAACCCTTTAGGATTTGGGGCTTCACTGGAGAAAGTGGTCTTCTGTGGTTGGAGTTTGAGATGGTTGTGCTTTTGTTGGTTTTGGTTTTTGGAAAGCTCTACTTTCTTTCACCCTTCTATTTCTCGATCTGCCTGGATATGCACAAGCAGTCATACATTCATTGTGATGCCTTTCCTGCTCTAATGGACTTTATCCCATTCAACCACGAATAAAATTAAGGCTTTCCTGCTATCAACTGCTTCTTGTCACTCACTTGGTCACAACCAGAAAATTGCTGATCTGCCCACCTAGTAAAATCTGTTCTGTGCTGAGGTTGTAATTAAAAAAATATTGGAAACCCTTATGGCAGTGTCTAAAATAACCAAATCCATTGTTCTAAGCGCAGAACTAGTTGGGTAAGTAAGGGCTGCTGGGAATGGAATGCGAATGTGCTTGTGGGCTCTGGCTGTAATTTAAATGCACTTCTTTTGCAGAGGGAGACCAAAGGGCAGTTTCTTATTGAGCACATCTGCAACTACTACAGCTTGCTGGAGAAGGACTACTTCGGAATTCGCTATGTGGACCCAGAGAAGCAGAGGGTAAGAGCCAATCTTGATCTTCAAACTGTGGGGTTAGGGAAAGGCCAAGTATGCCAGGCACTGTGGCATCCTTTCCAGAACCTTTACGATAGCTTTGTTCTCATGAATTATTGGCATGGGAAATAAAATGGCTGGTGTGACTGGAAGACTACCTAACTGGAAGGACGAGGGAAAGGAAAGGCATTTCAGGAAGCTGGTCTCTCACAGAAAAACAGAAATGCTCCTCTCCTCTGCAAACCTCCTCAGAGTAGTTGCATTTAATCTAATTATGGAGAGCTCCACCACTCCCCTCCCCCGCACACACACACACAGACATAACAACAGTTTCCTTATGGAGAGATGGAAACATTTCCCTGATAGCTAAAGAAGTGGAACATGTCCTTAAGTATCTTTTGGCCATTTGAGGGTTTTTTTTTGTTTTCTTATCTCTCCAGTCAGCTATCCTCTCCCTACCAGTTGTTTCTTATTTTTTTAATAAAACAGATCAATGTAACAAGATGACATTGTACCCTACTGTTCAATTTTTTTCTTTTTTATCCATTTTTTGTTTTCTCTTTTCCCATATGCATTCCTCTTACTGTCATACAGCCAATGGCAGAGGCTGATCTTACAGATATTATGACATCTGAGTACATTTATTGATTACCTCTTTTTATTCTATCATTAAACAATTTCTCTACATCTCTCCCCACCTTTGCTCCTTATTCTCCTTATTTTATGCCTTTTCCAATTCTCCCAACTACCAACAAAATACTAATCATTAGTCTTATCGATATTGGTTACTTCTCCTTCTCTACAGTTTTCCACACATAAGTAATAACTAAAATATTAATGTATACATTATCATGAGGTTTCCTTTACTTCTTTCATAAATTATTACTTTATAAAGACCTGTTTATAGTCACCTGCTGCTGTATTATATCAGTGAATTAACTACTGGATAGGAAATACTGTGGAAACTACTTCTCAACACAGGAGACAGCCTGGAGATGGAAACTGCCTGGGAAAGAAGACTCGCAGATGAAAATATCACTACAACCGTGCTACAACTGTCTTAGTTAGGATTTTTGGGTTTTTGGTTTTTGGTTTTGTTTGGTTTTTGATTTTTGTCTTTGCTATGAAGAGACACTATGACTACGGCCAGTTTTATAAAGGAAAACATTTAACTAGGACTGGTTTACAGTTCAGAGGTTTGCTCCATTACTGTCATGGCAGAAAGCATGGTGACATGCAGGCAGACATGATGCTGGAGAAATAACTGAAGTTCTACACCTTGATCCGTAGGAAGCAGGAAGGGATTGTGACAAACTTCCTCCAGAAGGGCACAGCTACTCCAACAAGGCCACACATCCTCATAGTGCCGCTCTCTATGGACCTAAGTCAGCCATTTTTATTCAAGCCGCCACAACAGCCATACCTGTTTTTTTTCTCAATATTTATCAGCTGCTATGACCTTGTATAGACACATCAGTTGCAGTGTTATTGTTGTACAATACTGGAAAGATTCTTATTTTAATTTGAGCCAAGATCTCACATTTACTTTAGGCTGGCCAAAAACTCTTCTACATCCTCTGGCTTCAAACTTGTAGCTTCTAAAATTATAGGCATGTGGTTTTGTGGCACCATGCTTGAATAATTTTTATTTGGTTTGGTGTTTCCATTGCTATGGATCAGACTTGGAACTTTTTACGTGGTAGGCAAGTATTCTATTACTGAGTTACAGTCCAACCTCTTAAAACTGCATATCTCGTGGACTCATAAAGATCTGCTTTAGAAACTTTACTTCCTTTGGTTAGTAAACTGCTGGACACACCAGGTTATTTAACTTCTGTGTGCTTTCCCAATGGAACTAATAAATAAACTATTTGCCTCATCACTTTTAAGAGAATTAGAATAGGGTATGTCATGCTTGGCATGTGGTCTATGGCGCACATTGACTCTGCGTTACATGTTGTTCTCACTATGAATTGGTGCTATTGCTTTTGTAATTATTAGGCTTTGACTAGGTCCAGGTGAGTACTTAAGACATGTTTAGTGCCTGTAGGACAAATGTTTGTAACTTCTTTTAAGGAAGGGGGGACACTGCTAAGAGTCCTTGATGATTTATTTACAAAAATCAAATTAATTAAGAAACCCAGTTGAACTAGGGCAGCCAAGTGTAATTACCCACACTGTGTAGTTAGTGGGTTACCTGTACCTCCTCTCAGCCTCATTGATGGTAAATTATTGTGGAATATTATTATTTTAAATCTACCATATTTGTTCTACCATTTTTCTCAGTTAATGAGGGTAAGTTCCATTTGGAATAGATTTTTATACAAGTTGCTGAATTTTATAACACTAATTTCTATAATTATGAATTTAAATGTACATCGTGTTATCATTCATGATGCAGGTGACCTGAGGCCAGTCCCATAAGGGGCAGTGGAGGGTGACTCAAAACCGCGCGGGTCCCTGGCAAGTGGAAGACAGACAGATACACCATGTGGAGAGAGTTTAGATTTAGAATTTATTTAGTGAGTATGGAGTGGGAGGGGAGAGAAAGAGAGGGAAACAGAGAAAGAGAAAAGATAGATTGGAAAGGAGGTGGGAGATCCCCTTGCCTTAGCAGGGGAAGTGTCAAGGGAGGGGGGATAGATTGGGAATGGTGGGGCTTGTCTATCAAAGGACTGAGTACCCAGGTGACAGGTCAGGCCATGGCCAGCAGATTACAACACTTTGTATTAGATTTACTGCCGTATTTCTCTACCCTGTTGCAGGATATTTGGTGACACTTTGTAAAGATGTGTCACTGTGACTGGTTTAATAAAGAGCTGAATGACCAATAGCTGGGCAGGAAAGAATAGGCAGGACTTCTGGGGAAAGAGAGGAACTTGGGTTGAATCTAGACACAAGAGAAACACTCCAGAGAAATACTGAAGCAATTAAACATGCAGTACAGAGGAGAGGTAACTGAACCATGTGGCAGAGTATTAATTTAAGTTATAAGAATTAGTTGATAAAAAGCCTAAGCTAAGGCTAAGTTTCATAATTAATAATAGTCTCCGTGTTATTATTTGTGAGCTGGTGACCCAAGGGAAGTCTGACTACAGTAGCTCCTCATCATTTTCTCTAAATCTAAGCAAGGAAGTCAGACATTATGTATTAGATCTAAGCATACTCTAGCCACTAACCCACCCAAAGAGGAATTATGCCACACTTAGGCTATAGGTGATTGGTTTATATTTTGGGGTCCTAAGTATTAGTACCTCCTCTTAATGTAGGTAAATACAGTCCTGAGCTTTTTACATAGGAAGTCAGATGATGAGCCTATTGCTGCCTTATTAATGATAGAAAATATCTTGTCTGTATCAGAACAGTTTACTTTTTCTACAAGTACCTTCAGGAGGACACAGAATGAAATAAACTACTGGGCTGGTGGCAGGAAGCCAGATGGTATTATGTCCCTCCACCTGCTCCTGCTATTGAAAGGCTGCTTCCTGCTGGCCTCCTCAGGATAATTGCTTTTCATATGCTCATAACTGAGAACAGGAAAGGAACCAAAGATTCAGAACAGCCCTGAAAACAACAGGATTTACTGCAAGCAGAAGTCCCTACTTATGGATTGGCCTGCTTAATAAATTTTCTTTTGTTTTTAAAGATCAGCAAAAGTCAAATGTCACAATTTCAGAAGCTGGAGAAATCACTCTGTGGTTTGCAATACTTGTTGCTCTTACAGAAGACCTGAGTTTGACTTTCCAAACCCACATTGGCCAGATCACATTTGCTCATATCTCCAGTTTGAGATTATCCTAATGCCCTCATGTCTCTGCAGATACCGAACTCACATAAACTTTCACACAGAGACATATGCACATACACATAACTTAAAAATAAAAAGAAGTATTTTTAAAAATTACAACTTCCTGGGTACCGTGTGGGATATGTGCAGATGACTTGTTCTTCTCAGGAAAAGTCTTAGTCACTGGAGTCACACAGCCGAGAGCTCTGTCATCACCTCTTTGAAACTGGATATTTGATTCAGAGGTCCAGGTGTGTTTCAGAGAGTTAAAATTGCCGCATTCGAGGATATCATAAGAATACTTCAGCCGACAGAATAACTTGGAGTTTAACTATAGTTATTGCACACAGTAGTCAGTCTATCTACATCTGAAGCCCTACTGAGAGGGTATAGGAAAAACTGGAACTTACTCAGCATACACTGATGTTGTTGATTAAACAGGAGAGGGGGCAAATATACAAACTCGTTGTTCTGTTTGAAACAGAACACAATTATAGGAATAAGGGATTGGGTGAGAAATGTAATTTTAACCCAATTGGAGTCAGGACAAAAAAGTATCCAGTGTAGGAACTTTCTCTGACTTTGTTGAAGAAGAACCTGGAGAGGAATCAATTAGAGAAATAAAGTTTATACAATATATTGGATAAAGAAGTTGGAGGTTTACAGCAGCCATGACCGTGAGATCCCACTCTAAACCAAAGACTTCAAAGCTTTGAAATAGCTTTTGAGTCAGATTTGAAGTCAACCTGGGACGAGGTTACCATTGCTATGACCTCCAGCTTAAATACAAACAGTGTAGTCAGACAATGACGATTTGAAGAGGCCTTTTGAGCGTAAATCAGAAGTTCATTTTCAAAATTGAATTGTAATTGCTTTACATGAATGAAGCATGACATGGAACTGATTACTGCGTGAGTTAACTTGCTCTGTAACAAGCTTCCCTATAGTTTATTGACTTAGAACATCCTGTATGAGTTTTATCTCTCATAGGATATATACAAGCTTGCCGTTTGAGCAGGACTAAGTTGAGCAGGTGTTCAGCAGATGACTAGTCAGAAATAATCTAAAAAACTTTCTTTCATCTTCATCTTCATGGGCTTTGGTACCTTGGTTGAAGGAAGGGGTAAAAGGTGTAAGGGGACCCTTTCTCTCTGAATTTAGTTTCAGAAGATCTGCAGCCATGACATGACTGGCTGGAGTGTCACGTACATATAGATCT